TGGAGAAGGAGAAAGTGAAAGGAAAGGGGCTCTATCGGGAGAAACTAAATAACACCGCCAAGCAGCGTTATTTAGAGAAACTGCTTAACATCAACAACATCAACCCGTACGACCTGCCAGCTACAGAATGGACGAAAGACCCAGAAGCACTACCACCTCTCCTATGGATTAAGATAATGATATTGAAAGTTCATATTTTGGAAAAAAAATCTGTTTTTCTGCACATAGCATGCTTTATTAGTAAGGTGTGTACAGAATGTGGTCTTGTGCATTAAGCATTTTCTTTATATGAGAGGAAAACGCTTAAAGTGTGAAATAATGCGTTGCGTTCACATTTTGGGATTATATGCGTATGTGCACATAATATGCTTTACAGTTTTGTCTTTATCACTATTAATCACTTTATCACGTTAAGCCACATTAAGCATTATTCGTGTTCAGCATTTCAGAAAGCTCAAGTTCTGCTAATTCACAAGCCGACTGAGAGTCATTCTCGCAAAGGTAATGTTAATTATTAAACCAAACAAAATCAAAACTTTCAAAAACACCCAGCAATGTGATTCTTTTATTGAGTTATAGGCAGTGGGTTTAATCAGTGATATTATCAATAGGTTTACTTCTTCTCGTCATCTCCACGACCTGCTTCCCTTGTTGTTTTTACACATAGAAAAGGCGAAAAAACATATTACATTGTCCAGTTTTTTCTCAGAACAATGATCTGAGTTACTATTGCAATTCTCTATGCAGCATGAATGACATACAATGGTGACATTTATCACAATCACGACAGAAAATCAAAATACTGCCCTAAACTCAATAGCAGAAAGGCAGAGCGATCCTCCCAGTATGGCGGATAAACAAAGAAGTTTCCCAGAAATCAACGCGGCGTGACGTCAGCTTCACATTCTCTATTGGCAGTGAGCATTATGCGTGCCATTTATGCGCCCCGGCGCCTCGCGTTTTAGCCACCTGCTGCGCCTCATGTTTATAGGAGTGCTCTGAGCGCCTGAAGTTGAAAAAAAAATCTGAGCAGAAAAGCGGCCAACGTCATTCGTGTTTTTTTCCCCATTGTCCAATCGAATGAATGGAGAGGCAGGCCTTCCATTGTGGTGATGGAAGTTTACAGTTGTTTGGAATGTCCAGAGACTGCAATGATGGAGGAGAAACTTGTGGTGGTCGCGGTTTACCCGGAACTATATATTTTTTTACGTTTCGCCAATATGAGAGTTTACTTAACAGCAAACCAAAGATTTTAAAGCGCTTGTGCTATAATCCTTGATTAGACTGACAGGACAGCTGATTCAGTGGTTGCCTAGCAACATTAAACAATTTCTAAATGAAAAAAAGCCAACCAAAAACAGGCAGTGTGGTGCGCCTCGCGTTTTCAAACCTGAAAAACGCGTTCTGTCTGATCGGGGCCTAAATTAATCTGCGGCAGTACAGTGGTCACGTGGTACAAGTCTTAAGATGCCTTCACGCTATGTCGTAATTACCGTAATTCTGAGATGACAACACGTGACATTCTACTTGGAGCTGAATTATGTGTTTCTATGGCAACACTATCAACGCCAAAGCCTTCACATGCTCCAGAACTCGTAATTACAACTTGTAAGCTCGGAATGTTCTGAGAGTTACGAATTGGACCATGTGACAGCTGTACCACCTGACTGCCGACAGATTAATTTAGGCGCTACCTGAGTCCGAGGACATGGGCAGCTCCGAGTAGAACGTCATGTGTTTTCAATTTGGAATTACGGTAATTACGACATGGCGTGAAGGCAGCTTTAGATTCGTAGCTCTCAGAAAATCCCCAGTTTACAAGTTGTAATTAGGAGTTTTATGAGGCCGTAAATGCATTTTACAAGTTAGAATCTGAGATTGTCTTTTTATTGGGAGATGCGAGGGTCTGTAGTACTTACCATTAGAAAAAGCATAACGGCTAGCTAACTTGGATCACATGAGGCACCTCAGCCAATCATACAATAGCCTCTGGTCTTCTTTCCCACGTACTGCTAAAGCCGCAGCGTTAGCATTACATGCTTACATGCTACATCATTAAAGACAGTCATATATTTTGAACCAATGTGGTTCAAACGACAGAGCTGTCAGAATGTTACTATGGTTTCAGGAAACAGTCGTTACTAGTTGGTTAGTTTCTCCAGTGATGCATCATACAATGGTAGTTAATAATCAGCGAGTCACAACATTGCATGGGAAATGCAGCCCAGCTCAACAAGCCGCACAATTTGAGGTATCATTCATTTCATAAAAAAAAAAACTTTCCTAACATAAGAATATGACATGCTTCATATTATCAAAACTTCTCAGACAACTGCTTTTATATTTATATTCTTTACTGTTTTTGTTATTCGTTTGATTTTGCTAAAAGATACTGCCCCTTTTTATACCTCAGTTTACCTTCACTTTATTGAATATTTCGACAGTGATATTTATAATATTGAATATTTAATATAAAAAAGATATTGCTACATTTTAACATCAGCATCGTGATCCTTTTTGCAGTTATATGCTCGATTTCCAGCTGATACTTGAATGCGCTGTTAAAACTCGGCACGGGATGCACATGCTCTATAATGTCTGATTGTACTCGCAAAGTTTCCCGTCAGAAAATAAACAAGTGAATCCAGTTGTGAACAAGGTGCACGCTGATGTGAAACATTTAGTGTAGTTTGTGATATTGTGGGAGTGAGATGAATAAATGTTTGTGCGTTCTGTGGATTTGCGCATGAATATTAATAGGTAATGATCTCTCTCCTAAGATCATTACAAAAAGGCACTTGCATAAATATACATGACAGTTCACTAAACACATAAAGCAGACCTCAATTCTGACATTTAAGCAGATCCTACTGTATCATTACTGCTAATTCCAGCCACTAGCGTGTGATGCTACCTATCTGCAGGTATAAATGGAGATTTAAGTACAGGCTTCTAGATATGCAAGTTAAATATTGTTTCTACCAACAATAGAAAGTTATGATACAGAATGTCAGATTTGAGAGGGGAAACACAAGCTCTGATCCAAAACCTAGTGAGCTGCCTACACCCTACATAGGTAGCTACCTTCTAAGGCAGTATCCTAACTGAATTAGAATCTCATGAGATGTTCTGTATATGCAGAAGCTGTCATACAAATAGGAAACTCAGCAATCATCAACAAATGGGAAATTCGCAATCATTTTCAATACAGATGACATGAGAGGAACTTAAATACTGTATTTAAGCGTTTCTTCAATTTTTATGTCCCAGGGGTTGATTTTCAACTAATAGCTGTCAGATTTTTTTTGTTTTGTTGTTATATGACAGTCACAATAAAACTGACTTGGAAGCATTTTACTTTTTTTTTTTTGTTCAGATGTCTTACAGTATTTCTATAGTTGTTGTGTGAAGATATATCAGTTTTTCAGAAAACTTTCGACTGTTCCACAGTTGTGGTGTCATTTCCACCACATCAAACAATTTTGTTCCTAATTTATTATCAAAAATACTTGTACTTGGTTACTAAGGAGACAACAGTGTCAGTTGATAGCTTGAGGTGAAATCAGATGAATCAGGTAAACATCACTTCTAAGCAGAGTAATTTAGCTTTTTTTGCCCAATTTCCGATCAAGCTGTAATTTTGTCAAGTTATCCAAAAAGTGTGAAATATTTAATTGTATTTACCTATGATACATAAAATGCTAGCTGCAAATTTAGGCTTAGTAAAACAAAAGAGTCTGTCATTTTATTCCAAATGTCAAAATGTCCTTTCCATCCCAGAATGTCATTAAACATAATATATAATTTGAGATGTGCTGGAAATGACAGTCTGGTGGAAATTAATTTCATTTTTCAGGAAAAAGAGACATTGTAAATGGACTAATTAAGAGCTATTTTCTAAAAGTCCACAGGGTCGAAAGCGCATATAGTTAAAGGGGACATCGGATACCCATTTTCCACAGGTTGGTATGATTCTTTAGGGTCTTCATGAAACGTCCGCAACATACTTTGGTTAAAATTCCTTAATGAATTCCTTAATTCCTTAAACCGTTTTTACCGTCAGTTTACAGCGAGCCGCTTCGGTGCATGTCTCTAAATGATAATGGGCTACAGCTCTCCCCTCTTCCGTTTTTTGTGTATTCAGTGGCGCATTACCATCAAAAACAAAACTAATCCATTGCGTCCTCAGTGGCACTGATGTGGGGAGAAAATGACTCTGTTTCACACCGCAAGCAAAAATAGAGTTGATGCCGAAACCATTGCTTCAGTGCTGCTCACGCGCTGCTCCTGCTCGAGTGCGGAGAAAATGGCAGACAGTGTACAACTGGCTGAGGGCGGAAATATGCTAATACAGACAGTCTGTCAGCGGCCGTGGGCGGGGCCTGAGCAGAAAATCAAAACGGCTTGATAATTGAGACTCTTTTGGTTTTGGATTAAAAAAAGGAGTGAACGGATTTTTATCATTGTAGGGTGGTTGTGTCCACACACATGTGCCAAGACACATTATATGCAAACACTATGTAAAAGTGAATTTTGCATCCGATGTCCCCTTTAAAGAAGCATTCATTCAATACAATTCGAATGTTTGGGGTAAGATTTTTTTGTTAATTAACAAAAAAATTTACGCTTTTATTCAGCAAGGATGCATTAAATGGATTGAAAGTGACAGTAAAGACATGTATAATGTTGTGAAACTTCTATTCGGAGAATCCTGGGAAAAAAAATGGGTCATGGTTTCCACAAGAATATTAAGCAGCACAACTGTTTTCAACATTGATAAGAAGAAATGCTTCATGAGCAACAAATCAGCGTATCAGAATAATTTATGAAGGATTACTGATTTGATGAAAGAAATAAGAGATTTAAAAAAAAATAAATATATATATATATATATATATTAATAACCCCAAACTTTTGAATGGTAGCCTATAGTAATTTTTGATTTTTTTAAACACTTTTCAATGTGAAATAATTTTATATACATATTTATAATCAGCATTTTCTCTCGTTTCACTTGTCGTCTTGGATTTGTTCACTGAATTTGTTGCAATGCATTATAGGACTGCAATCTCTTTAAAGTCTGTCTGCTGCCTTTGGTGAAAACGAGGCGTTTTAAGCCTTTTGAAGCAGGCTTTGTGTTGGAAACGTGCATAGAATGCTTTTCAGTGCTCACTAGGTTTTGCAAAAGAGCAATAGTATGCACTATTTAAATGTTGTCATATACATAAAACATATATACAAACACTATTTCCCACAGTGAAGATTAAACCCATCAGAAGCAGGACTCAGGCACAGGTCTCTGTCTGCCAAGTGAAGTGCTGCTGTATCTGATTCTCTGTAGTGTTGCATAGGAGGATTTATCTACCGCAAGTCCTTTATGGTGGGCCGGCACCAATGGACTGTTTCTTTGGAGAGACAGCGTCCTTTTCAAAGTCATATCTAGCCTGCTCTGAATATTGGATGAGCTGTGGGCGCGTTTTATATCAGCTGTGCTCGAACAAACCTGGTTTTCTCTGCCGTTAACCACTTTACTGGTGCCCTTGTGAGCGGTGCCAGTCTTCCTCACCTCAATGCCCTTTCCATTTAGAGTCCCATTGGATAGAGACAGTTTGGTCAAGCTCTTGCTGGAAAGCGTCTTCCCGTGACCCATCTCCTTATCCTGCAGTCTGGCGGTGCTGATGATGGTGCCATCTTTACTCCTGCTTTCCCCCGTGGCCGTCTGAGTCTGGCTGGGATGAGTCCTGCTAGTCGTTGCCGCCTGGTTTCGTAGCTGTTTTAACGTGGAGTCTCTTGAATGAGATGCACTGTTGCTAGTACCGTTGAAAAGCACAGTAGGGGAACTTTGAAGCGACTTACTGGCCTGAGTCCTTTCGTGCTCCTGTCTGCTTTTTGAACTGTTTTTGGCCAACGAGCCATTGGATGTGACGCCGTTAAGATCCGATGCTGGTCTGCTCTGGCCTTCGGGCAGTCTGGGTGAATCCGGACCTTGATAACTACTTCGTTCCACACTACTGCTACAGCTAGGGGAACTCAGAGAATCGTCCTTGCAAAGCTGGGCTTTGACCTGTGAAGGACTAGCCACGATACTTACTATGGGCTCTTTGGTACATCGAGGTCGCCGGCCGGACTCAAGGTACTCCACCAGCTCGTCATTTCCGATTTTTGGAGCGACGCTGGAGGGCTTTCTGCGGTCCTTAGAAGCAAATGACCAGCGCAGTGGAAGAACTTTGCTTGAGCCCGTCTTGGATTTGGAGTGGTAGCGCATACTCATACTGTGGCCCCGGACGCTTCGTACAAAAGGCGTCGGCTCAACTACATCTAAAAGCAGAAAACGGAGGACTAGTAAGTCATATTTAATGCGTGCATCCCAAAATCGCAATAAGCTGTTTGTAGAGAATGTTTTATGCTGTTATTTTTTATTAAATTAATTTGAACGTCTCAGCTTTCAAATTAATTTTATTTCAAATTTTATTGCTAAATTCAAACAATAAATGTTGTTTGTTTTAAACATTGTAAAATCGTGAATACATTGTTAAATATATGTACTACATTATAAATGCGTTAAATTTTCTTGTACAATAAGTTCCCATTAGTTCCCATTAGTGTTACAGTATTCCTTAGTCTTTGTTAACGTAAGTTAATAAAAATAAAATTTTTCATTGTTAGTTCATGTTAGATCAGGTCCATTACTTAATATTAACAGATGCAATTTTTTCATTTTAACAATGTATTAGTAAATGTTGAAATTACCATTAACTGAGATTAATGAATGCTTTAAAACTATTGTTCATTGTTAGTTCATGTTAATTAATGTAGTTAACCAACATTAATAAATGAAACCTTATTGTAAAGTGTTACCAGTTTTCCTTAACCTGTTCATGATTATGTAATGGATATTTGAACAAAACTCCTAATTCTGAAAAAAGTTTGCAATCAAAAGTTACGAAAAGTTTTATTTCATCTTAAAACATAAGTATATAATTAAAAAGGCAGAGAATTTCCTTTTTCCATTTAGTGCGCGAAACAACTCAAGTCAAAATGATTTAAAATCATTCAAAACCCAGAAGACTAATGTGCCACTTGTTCCCTCAAGATTTTCCTGTAGTTTTTTTTTAAATAGGGTTTTTCACTTAATGAGTAAAGCAAGGTCTGTGGTAAATATAAATTGATGATACTTGGATGTTTTTCTTAAGGGAATCTTGAGGCAACCCATGACAAACTGGTATTTTGGGTTTTGACATCATGGCTGCAAAACTCTATAGAAGTAGTGGATATACAGCAAGAATATACTGACCACTGTCTTCATTTTGAGGCTCATGGATGATAGGAATGTGTGGTGTCTGGGGCTCTGGAGCTGAAGATGAATTGGACAGCTTGCTACTTGAATTTGATATTTGTTTGTCTGCGTTGAGTTGGATGAGCCAGTGGTCTGATGTAGAGGAGCTGGGGGAACCTGTGGGTCAAAAGTAGCTTACTTAGTCAACTTTGCTCCACTCATGCAAGTCAAAATGCTGTTGGGTTTTTCTGATAACAGACTGAAATGCACATGTAGCTGAATGCTATTTGGAAATAAGTAAATAGACTTATTTCATGCTTTATGGTGAAGCATTTTGTGCTAAAGTGCATGAAAATAACAGGGACCGGTTCTCACTTTGCTGTAGCCTTTGAATCTGGGAGGCTCGTCTCCATTAAACACTCATGAAGATGAGATGGAATGGATCCAACAAGTATTACCATATGCATACAAATTATCACAAGAAGTTGGCAGACTGCTGGTGCAACAACCTTACAAAACAGACCTGAGTTACAGACCTTGGGAAAATTGCAGCATATGAAATAATGTCTCAGATGGGTTGAAAGAAAACGTGATGCACTGTAGCGTATGGACCAATCAGACTCACCGGTTTTCATTAGATTTAACAAATCAATTATTCATTAGATTAACAAATAGTCACAGACCCCTCACCCAATGAACATACTGGGTGCCAGGATGTCTGTGAACGACACCAGGCCCCTGGTTACCATGGCAACCAGGACCCCTCAGCCAGA